CCGTAGAGGTCTTTCATTTCTCTTGTTATATTGACTTCCAAATATTTTAATTTTTGAGGCTTTTATGAGTAGTTTTCTTAATTTCTCTTTCAATGGATTCATCACTGATCTATAAAAATGCATTTGACTTCTGAGTGTTTATTTTCTCTCCTGCTACTTTGCTGAATTCATTTATTAGTTCTAGAACATTTCTGGTAGAAATTTTTTGATCTAAATACAGAATCATGTCAGTTGCAAATAGTGATAGTTTTGAGTTGTTTTATTTTTGAGCAGTTGTTCTTCGCCACTTACTTTTTAAAACATTAATCTGCTCAATACAATCTTCTCTCATTTTGAAATGTATTTATTCCTTATTATTAATTTTTATGTCTTCTGATAGTCCTTTCTCTCTCCTTTGGAGGCTTCAATGGAATGTGTGAGCTTTCATGGGGAAATAATCTTAGATGTGATTCATAAAAGTCAAAATAATAAACTAAGGTTCATCAAAATTAATAACTTTGTGCTTTAAAAGAAACCACAAAAAATAGAAAACTTACAGAATGATAGAAAATACTTGCAAGTAATATATCTGTAAAAGTATTTTCAGAAAAGTAACAAATTCTTATAACTTAGCACCAAAATCTAATAAATGTTAGAGAAAACATTTGTACTCACATGTAAAGGAGATATTTGAATGGCCTATAAGGGCATAGAAAGGTTCTCATCATTAATCAATGCAAATTTAAACCATAGAGACATACCACTAATTATCAAGTTATAACAAAAAAAGACAAAACTGACTCTTGGTGAGGATGTGACAACAAACTATTATCGATTGTTTAGGGAAATGGAATATATTGTAGTGTGATAGTTTTTGTAAACTATCAGTATGTGGCCATATAGCTTAGGAGAAATAAAAACATAGGTCCACACAAGGACAGCTACTTGAAAATCATGCAGATATTATATATAATAGTCACAATCTTGGAAAAATGCATTGTTTATTAAGTGATGAATGGGTAACCAAAATATAGCATATCTATAGAATGGAATAATACATATTACTTAAAGTATATATTTTAAATTATTTTGTTTTAATTGTAAGACCATTGTTAATCAGTATAATCAAATTGATATTTGTAGAAAAATAGAGATGAAAAAATGCAAAGAGTTCATGCCCATAAAGAGGCCATATATAATTTTAGAAAATGTCTAAATCCTTTTTAAAAGGCTAAAACCATACTGATTAAATGCATTGATACTAATGAAATTAAATTTAAAATAATAATATTATATTTTGAGACCCTAAAATCTTTAGATTAAAAAATTCCAAATGATCCAAAGGTAAAAACTAAACACACCAGAAATTAACGAATATTTAACACTAAAGGCAAATGAAAAAACTGAACAGAAAAAATGGCATTTTTTTAAATTGCTGGAAAATTAGTAAATAAATTTTAAAATGGTATGTGAATATAAGTTTTCAATATCATGAATAGAAAAGGGATTATCACTATAGCTTTTATACATACTTAAGGTCATCAAGAAAATATTGTAAACAATTATATGACAGACTGATGATAACTTAGGTGTAAAAAGTAAATGTCTTTCAAAATACTATGAAAAAGTGACCCAAAATGAAACAAGAAATACAAACAGTCCTCCATAGTTGTTAACAACTTTTCTATCTAAACATACTCAGCCCTGCCTTCACATACATTTTTAAAATTGGTTTACTAATTTTCCAGAAATTTGGAATAATAACGATTTTTGCATTCAGCTTTTTAAAATATATGCAACTTATCATTTCAATGGTGAGTTCTGTAAAACTCTCCCAACTCTGGAAAAAAAGAACCTGCGTCTATATCAACTAGTTCGGAATGTAGAGGTGAAAACTCTTTTAAGTTTTAGAAAGGAGAAAATTTCTTCAAACATCCCAAAACTTTTAAAACTTTTAAAGTCACTGAGGACAGAATAAGTGAATTTGAAGATAGGTCCATAGAGACTTTGAAGATGAAACAAAAATAAAAAATACATAAAGAACTAAAAGTAAGAGAACACTCTGGGACTGTAGGATAATACACAAACAGGAGCATATGTCTAATGGAAACATCAGAGAAAAAGAACAAGAGAAATAACAATGGCCAAGAATCAGCCAAAATTAATGACAGAATATATCCACAGACCATAAAGTGCAGAAAACTGGAGTAGACTAGCACGCACGGGTGCGTGCACACACACACACACACACACACACCCATGCACACACACACACCCATGCATACACCCATGCACACACCACATAGAAATATTATATTCAAATTAAAGATAAAAAGATGAATAGAAAATCTGGAAGGAAAATGCTAGATGAAATGCACCAAATTGCACTATAAAAAAGGATAAGAATTAAAGCCAACTTATCTCCTGAAATAATATTTACAGCATGACCAAATCTTGCTAACCTAGAATTATATGCTCAAAATTTTTTCTTTAAAAGATAAAAAAGAAGTGATATCACTGTTTAAACAAACCTGAGGACATTTTCTGACAACAGACCTGCCATGCAAAGAGTGTTAAATAAGGTCCTCAGGAATTAAAAAAATGATAGAAGAATCTTAATTGTACCTTAAAAAAGGAATATCAAAGAATAATTGAAAGCAAAATAAATTCTTGTATTTTTATTTTTCTTAATTGTTTTAGAAGTTAGTTATTTGTGTAAAACAATAACAATATGTTAGGTGATAAGAGAATATGGAAACGTAAGGCAGTGAAAGTAATATTAGAATAGATAGAAGAGAGGATATTGAACACTGTTAAAAGGCACCTACCCAACACGAAAATACAATAGTATTTGAAGGTATAATTACATTATTATATGATATGTATTGAAAAGTTATATGACCACTAAAATTGAAAAAAATTCAAGTGTAACTGATAAACCAAATACAATGGATTTATAAAATATTCTTAAAACTAGACAAAGTAGAAAAGAGGTAGAAAAAGTAACAAAGCACAACACAATATGTGCCTAAGTTAATGTTAATTAATAAATTAGTTCATGTGAAACATTAACAATAACTGATGATAAATTGGAACACTTACAACAATATACTATACTAAAAGTTATATGAATATAGTCTCTTTCTCTTCTTCCCTCCCTCTCTTTCTTTCTCAAAATATTTTATTAAATTATTATTATTTTGATAGGGTTAATTGAAAACAAATTCTGTAATTTCGTGTCAGTCATTCTAATAACTAAATGGTGGCTGAGAAACTAACATGCAGGTTGCTTATACAGCATGGATACTCTGGACGAAAGGATAATTCTCATCTCAGGAGGACAGAGCAGGGTAATGAGAGATCTCCCCCTGCTGTTTAGAACAAAAAGCAATTTAAAACTCATGATATTATCTGTATTTTTCCCTTAAATGATTTCAGACTGGTTGACCACAGGTAACTAAACTCAAAAATTTAGAATGCCTCATAGAGAGAACAACTGTACTAAATATATATAGTGTTGCATTAAATTTGACCTAAAACTATCTCTATAATTTGAATCCCTATGTAGCAAACATCAATCTAAGTTAATACATAAACAATATACAACCTAATTCAAGAATATGTTCTTGTAACAAATATCGGAATAGGAGCCAATCACAGCAGCTAAGATCCAACCAACTTCAAGTTGCCAATGGTCAAAATATGTCCATATAAGGAAGGCTTGGGCCGCTGTCAACACTACCTCCCTGCCTTCACCCCTATCACACTGTGTTCACAGCTGCTGGGTGAGCCTGCGCCTGTCCTGATTCTGAGTGATGCCCCATATATGAATTGTTCATTGCTTAAATAAGCTTCATTATATTTGTCTAAAAATTTTCTATTAACAGTAGTAATAATGTGGAGACTTAATACTATGGCTGCTACCAAGGTGAAAGCTGTTTCTGAGCATAAACAGCTCTCAAAAAATTCCCCCAGGTTTCCAGTCACCCTCTTGCTCCCCTATTGGTGGAAATGAATAGGAGGAAGGCTCAAAGAAAAAATGTTATTTGTAGAGTTCCTGACTCCATGTAACTAAGCAATGTATAAAGGGCAAGAAGGTTTGGGTTGTGGAACAGTAAATTAAAAATATGCACACATGCAAAAATATACAAATGCACACAAATATATCTATGAACTGGGCTTTTGCTAAGTGAACCCAAAGAGATTAATTCAATGAAAAGCAAAGTACCAAAATTTCTTAAAATATTGAAAAGTAGTAATATGCTAGGAATTACCTTTATTCATGGGCTAATATTTATGATCTTGAAATATAATGGCTCTCTGGTATTGTCTGTCTGTGATCTCTAATAAATATATTTCCATTTCTAGAAATACTAAAGATCAATACACGAAAATTTCCATTAGGATTTACTTTATTTTCTGAAATTGTAAGTTTTTGCTTTTAATTCTGAGGTATAATATCAATGTTTCGCTTTTCTTTCACACTTGCAGTTTATTCTTTTATAATTTCTTTCACACTTGGACTTTTAATATTTTGCTTCTCTTTCTCAGTTGTAGGTTGTTCTTTATTATTTTCTTTCATACTTGGAGCCTGCTTTGTTTTCACAGTAGAAGTTTGAAAACTTTGCTTTTCTTTCTTAGTTGAAGTTTGAAAACATTTTTCTTTCTTACTTGAAGTTGGAAAACTTTGCTTTTCTTTCTTAGTTGAAGCTTGAAAACTCTTCTTTCTTACTTGAAGTTGGAAAACTTTTCTTCATCAGTCAAAAATTGAACACTTCGCCTTGGTTTCACGGGTGGGATTTCAACATTTTCCTCTTGCCTGGGTGAAGTTTTAACAGTTGGCTCTTCTGCCTTCTTTCATTTATCAGATTTTTTTCTGGGTTAACAAAAAGAAAAGAAAGCAAAGGCAAAGCAAACCTGCCAAAAGAATATATAGCAGCATTAACAGGTAAGTCCACTATGATGGTATCCTCCTTCTCTGAGGGGGTGGGCCACTGTCCACACTACCTCCCTGCCTTCCTTCAGGCAGTTGGGTGGGGCCAGTCATAGTCACAATGGCAGTGATATTTATTATTACAAATCCCTCTCATATTGCAGGCATCAGGCGAACAAACATCTTCTCAAAGAGGCAGGAACACACTTCCTGTGGAGACACATATATTCTGTGCCACACACTGTACCATCTTTCACATTACCGACATCAGTCATGCTCATGCCAAGATGATAGTCTGTTCCCCAGCAGGTGACCCCGGTGACTTGAGTTGAAAGCACAGTAGTGTGTTCTTCTAATAAAGGAATTTCTATCACATTCTCACACTGGACTCGCCCACACAAGACATCTGAGATTTCGCATGGTACACAGCTAGTGTCATCCATACCACAGTGACCAAAACGGTCACCTCTGGTGTTAATTGACTTGTAACAGATCTGATTTGCAATCTCGACTTCTTTGCCAAAATTTTTCTTACACGACTCATCATGGCTGCTGCATCTCTTTGCATAGCAGAAGCTATTGTTCAGCCAAGGGATCCCGTCTTCCACATACACATCATCTGGACACTTGGGCGAAGTGCCATCGCACCACTCTGGCAGATCACAGTCATTTTCCTGTGCTCTGCACACTGTGCCTGATGGCTTGAACTTGCAGTCTTTGAAGCAAAGCCCCGAAGTACAATCGGCCCTAGGTTTCAGAGTGCAGTCTTGCAAACAACATAAATAATTTGTACGTGGCGCCACAATCACACTGCTCCTCTCCTTCAACCACACTGTTCCCACAGCGCTTTTTTGTTTAGATGTTCTCTGGATTTGGTGCACTGTGCAGACAAGTACTATTGTTAATGATGTTAAAAAATGCAGCATAACGGCAGTTGCTGAACACTTCTGCAGGCTTAACTTCTGGATTACATGATGCATAATCTTTCCCCACACACACAATTGCTATCATCATCTCACACCCACAAATTATGGCCAAGCTCATGTGCCACAGCAGATGCAATGGAAGTGGTTGGTCACTTAAAATACACTCTAATCCACAATTTCTATTTATGTCACATATTACTTTATAATGTGATGTGAAAGGCTTTTCATCACAAAAATCTTGTTTTATGATAATATGTGCACCATCATGACTCACACGAGAATTAAAAGCTGTTTTTTTTTTTCCAAGTGCAAAATTCATACATCATTCTCTGTGTGGTACTTGCTGTATAGGGGTTTTCTTTCATTCCAGATCTCAAGTCCAGTGAGAATCACATCAAGACCCATTACTTTATAAAAGGTACCTACTAAATCTATAGCCATAATTACTTCTAATTCCACTTTTGAAATATTTTCTCCCCGAAAAATGAATTGTTCATGTTCTATCATGCCAGTTCAAGAAACCATTGGTGGGCCCACACACCCTCAAGGGAACTATGCATCAGAGTGGCACTAACATTTTCTTGAAACTTTAATTGCCAATCTATTTCTTCTTCTGTTAATCCACATCTGGGTAGATAGTGTGTCTCCTCCTCGTCATTCTTATATACCAAATGTTCCAAGGTGGCAGAAAACATTTTGGGCTTGATATCATAAGCAATGCCATTTATCTGTAGCATTCCTTGTAGTCCTCCAAAACAAGTATTAAGGGAAACCAGGGATTCTGGGTCTCCTTCCACATAGCCATGATAGTAGCATTCATTTTGGAAAAAAGGCTGGTCCTCAACCAGAGCACCCTGGTCAGTGTAGGTGAACAAAGTCTCTGGACACCAAAACCTTCTTGGCCTTCATGCGGACAATGTGTATCTTGCCCCCAAAGTGCAGGCTGTAGAAGAGCCACCCTGGAGTCCTTATGTGTCTGCCAGGACCATTTACCCTCAGGGTATCACCACTTCTGGGGGGTTGTGATATTGAGAATGCCCAAACAAGAGCCAACCAGAAAGGAATAGAGGAGAGGCACTAATGGCCGGAATAGATGGAGAGTGTTCTTCATAGGCACCAAGACCTCACCCACAGCCATTATGAAATGAGGGTGAGAGCAAAGGAGGGGAGGGCAGGAGTCACTGCTTGTCAGTCTCCACCCTTGAGTTGGTTGCATGTATCACTGCTATTTAATGGTCTTTCTTCTGGCAGAGTCAATCCATAAGAGTAGCAACTAAAAATAAGAACAAAAAGAAGCGTAGAGATGGGGGTTGTTGTCTGAGCAGGGCAGGGTGAAGGAGAAAGAATGGATATGGATTAAAATGGAAGAGTTTTTAGTTACAGGAAGTGCATTGAATTTGCTCTGGAGTATCTTAGGCAGAATAAGACTCTGATGTACAAAAGAAGGGCAATTGTCCACAGGGGGATGATCACTGAACCTCAGTGAAGGCCACATGGATTCATTATGCATGTATGTTTATATGTGAACCTTTCCTCCAGATATTTTTAAATCAGGAGTGTGTTATTCCCTTGAAAGGGAAGCATATTTTCTTTTGATGAGGGAATCTTGATTTACACATAATGACTTGAAAATATATCACTCCTCCTTTATTTGTATTTCGTATGATCAATTAGTCAGATTAATCAGGAGAAATATAATCTACAAAAGTGCCCACATGTTAATTTTTCTCATGGTCCTTAATATGTAAAGGATTACGTCCATGCCACAAATCAGTACTTGTCCTATCTTTATTCAAGCCTGTTAAATCACAAGGTATCTAAACATCACCTCTACTGTAAAAATACTGGTATCCACTGTAAAGGACAGTTCAATAAACAAAATAATACAATAAACATTCAGGAGGGATTACTTTGGGCTGATGACATTCACAGATGTTTGTATTTGATTCTGTTCTTAGGAAATAAAACATTTTTTAAAAAATCTCTGCACAGATTAAATGGGAAGGAAATCAAACTCGCTGTAAAAGCAACAGTTGGAAGTGGAAGGATGCTGAAGGCAGAAGGAAGTGCCTTTGGAAACAGAAGGAAATCAATGAACCTCAAGAGGAGGCAAGAAAATGTGATGAATGTTAACAGTGTTTTTCTAAAACAAAAGGATCAATCTTCTGGAATTTTTAGGGTTATAAGCCAACTGACTCCCTAAATAAACATTTTCAAATATATTTATTTCATAAATTAAATAACTACACAGATAGATATAGATATAAATACAAATACTACATAGCTTAGTAATAAAGTGAAATTGAGAAATCTGCTTCTAGCACAGAGTTGGTGGACAATTCTGACTCCTTATTTTGTACTTGGTATTAACAGAACATAGTATGCAGGCACTAGACTACCCACTTGGGAAAACATAAGTGAATGATATAGACCTAAGTACGTTCATGGTCTGAATCATACATTTAGGCACAGTGTTTGAGGCAAAAGTGCATCTTATGCATTTGTAAAATTGCATTTAATATTTTGCATAAAATATCTATTTGGAAAGTGTCAAGTCTTTATAAGATCACTGAAGTAATGAGATTATTAAAGTAATGAGATTAAGAGCTGCTAGCTTAAGAAAGACTGAGTGGCACATGCCTGTGATCCCAGAAACTCAGGAGGCTGAGCCAGGAGGATTGCAAGTTCAAGGCCAGCCTTGAACTTAGTGAGGCCCTAAGCAACTTAGTGAGATCCTGTCTTAAAATAAAAAATGAAAAGGGATAGTGATGTAGCTCAGTGGTAAATTGCCCCTGCGTTAAATCTCCAGTCCTCACCAACCTACACCAAAAAAAAAAAAAAAAGAATTGCTAGCAGAAAAAAAAAAGTTCTTCAAGGACAAGAAGAACTGCTCCTAGAAATTTAAAATATGTAAATGAAATATCACACTTCAGAATACGTAACAGAAAAATGAAAGTTGCCAAATTTGGTACCTACCATCTCCTAGACCCAGGACCCATTTCTCTTTAAGTTTTCTTTTATCTGAATTCTAAGTTCTTTGACTTATTCACTGAGAATCATTTTGATGTCACTTATGGAAACTTCATTTCATGAAATACAGCAACACTCTTCTCTACTCACCTTTCTTTATGAGGAGAGCCTTATCCCTACTTAATGTTACAAAAATTTTATATCATCAGTATGAAACCTACCAGAGGGGAAGCTTTCCAGTCCCAGAATTACCCTGTGCCATACACACTAGATGTTGCATTGCAATTTATTTTGTTCACTAAAGCTACTTCCAAACCACTAAACTAGCAGCCATCATATAACATTAAACATCTTTTTTTCCTCGTTCATAAACCAATCTCCAAAATACTTCTACACAAACTACAAAGAATCCGACAGCTGATTTACCACTTCCTTCTCTTACCCATATCCTCCTCTTGTTTGGTAAGTACGTGGGCAACCCACACACCACCCACTATGTGGTTCCTTTTACCTTTACAGTTATCTCCCACCACATTTTGCCATCAGCCTATGATGATGTGCATCAGCACCCTTGAGCATTCCTAAGTTTACATATTAAAAATTTAACAACTTTTAATCCTAATGAAAACGTACTCATTAAATTTATGGAAGACTCAACTTTTCTATCCATGTTTTATCTCTGCTCAAGTTCCCATCATTGTAACCGTCATCCCTATACCCTTGCTCTAGACTGCATCAGTTCAACCACATTTGGCCAAAGTCCTCAACCCAATCTAGATTAATGTTTTTGCCTGATTTTGCCCCTCCTACAACATGCTAGGAACACAACTGGGAAAATTGTGTGGCCCTAAGCAACTTAGTGAGATCCTGTCTACCTAGGGGAATGTTTAAAAGGTGAAAACTTAAAAATTTAGGATGAAATTCCCACATATTTTAGTCTCAAGGATGAAATGATAAACATATGTTTATTTCAAAAACTCCAATGTTTGTAATAATCTGGGTTTTACTTATTGTCCACACTGTTTTTTAACTTTCTGCTTTCAAAAATTTCTTCACCAATACCTAGGAGCCTAAACAAAAGTGAACATTGTTTTTATAATTTTTATTACTATAGAATTTTAATGCTAGCTTGAGTTGGCATGCCAAGAATTCTTCATTTAATGCATGGTTAATTAAAAATCAGATATTTTAATTAGTCTTTGCTTTGTGTTTGCATATATGTGGCAAGGGACTCATTTCATCATCATTAAAGCCACAGAATGCCTGGGTAGCTTGGATAAAATAATCAAGTAACATAAAGGAAGGTTTACTGCACAAAGTTCCAAACCTCTACAAAATAAATAAAGCACAATCCCCAGAAGGAATCCCTGTGTAACAACACCTCTAGCTTGTGAATAAAATTCTAATATTCTAATTTGCTCTACAGTTTTCTCTTGCTAATATATTTGGGAATTATGGAGGAGAGAGAATTTTTGTTGTGATGAAAAAGACTTCTCTATTAATGATACCACACGGCTGAAAATGAACTTAGGTTAATGTACATATAACAGAAGCAAGTAAGAGGGAGTCAGCCAACTTGTAAACTATTTGAGCCAGAACATCTTTGCACTCATAACATTATTTTATACTTTGGACCTAGAGATCACTCCTCTTAAAAGAATAAAACATTTTCAATAATTTTGTGTAAGAGTACATGAAGAGTTCAGAGACTTCAAAGTAAATGGCCATGCATCATCTTTGATAAATGTTGTTTTCTTTTTTCCATTGCTTTATCCCATCCATTAAACTCTGTACCCTAATTAAAACATCCCTTCTAGCTCTAATTTTCAGCCTAATTCCAAGTTTTTTTTTTTTTAAACAGCGGGTAACAACATAAAAATATATGGAGATTTAGAGGCACTGTATTATGAAAAGAATATAATAAGATACTATAAAGGATAGAGAACTTCCTAAAGATCTGAATATTTTAAAATAATCACAAGGGTTTTGTGTGTGTGTGTGTGTGTGTGTGTGTGTGTGTGTGTGTGTGTACACATGTGCATGTATGCATGCATGGGTATGTGTATTACTTCATACATAAATACTGGTACCTATCTCCTGATGACTTGTTAGATCCTATGACCTTATTGTTACAACCTTCTTCATGGATCATTTGTAATACCTGTCTTATGGACAAATATTTTTATTTGAGACCTTACATGACAAGGAGAAATAATTCCTTCTTTCAAATGTTTCACATTTAATTTCTAGAATTTGGCTACCTAAAAACAAGTGTCTCAGTTCTGTATAACACTTCAAAGGGCTGCATTTCTTTCCCACTCTTATTCCAAAATCTCTGCCAAGGTTTTTGATATGAATGAATCTGATTTCCTTACCCCATTCAATGTGCACCAGCAATTCATCCATATTAATAAATTTGATTTTTCTTACCCTAATTAATTGTCCTTCCATATAATATAGTCATTGTATTTCTGTACTTTTGCTCATACTTTTACCATGGGCCAAGGTTATGTCCTCCACATTGAACCATATTATGGAACATTTGAAATATATTAAATTCCATAAATTTTCAAAGCCATTTACAATATTTTCCGTGGAAAACAAAAATCTATAGCTTTCTTTTTAAAGTCACTGAATAACCTGGGAACATTTCATATCTGTGCATAAATATGCATAATAAGAAAAGACAAAAATCAGAAGTTACAAGAAGAGGAAGATGAATAAAGTAATAATGTATAAAAGAATTTCATAGGTCAATTGGTGAGCTAGCAGCCTAAAGGTGCTTATATAGAAAATAACAGCATTAAATAAGTTGGTTAAGCAAATGATGCTAAAATAAAAGCAAACGGTTCTGTTCAGGTGCAGAATAGATTTGCAAACTGAAATACAGAAGTTAATTTTAGAAACTGAAAGAGCATTCCAACAAGGTGAGTCAGGACTGAGGTTTTTATATCAAAGAGGTAAAGAAACAATGTATAACTCACATTCTTGGAAAATGAGCAAGGATTGAGGAAGCCTGATGATAAGACAGAGAATCCAGTGATGGTGGACACTATTTCAAAGTATTGTGCACATTCTTCCAGCCTGGCCAGCCTGGAATCTTTCCAGACCAACAGGGTATTGAAAAGTACAAAAAACATCTTTAACAAAGAAATTAATTAAAACATTTAGGTTCTATTTTTACTAAACACTTTTAAATCACTCTGGGAAGACATTGAGCTTGTCGAACTTACTCTCAGGTGCTGTAGAATTAGAATACATGATGCTCTTGAAGATTTTAGCAGGGACTCTCCCTGCTGCGGAGTGTTTTGTGTGTATTTCAAGCTGCTCCCTGTTATGTATGCTAAAGCTCAGTCAAGAGGTACATGGGTAGATGCTCATTATTTGAGCATCTGGTGAGTATCCACATGGCTGACTGGAAGCAAGTTCAGATCACATAGGTCCATAACTCAAGGAGCAATACTCTTGACTCTCACTCTTGAAATTTCAGTCTTGGAATAGTCTTTAATGAGTGGTCCTTCTGTTATCACAAAGACTATCCAGGTGCACAGAGATCCATAATTATAACATATTTTTGGAATACCAGGTTCATCAATGCCACAACAGGGTCCTTGATGTGACTATTAGTTTTTCTGGACTTTAACATTCCCTGTATAGATCTCTCAGGGGCCAGCTACCTTTCATTCAGGGTTTGTTTTTTGTTTTTTGTTTTTTTAACCTATATCTCTTCTATTCTATTGTTGAGCTAATAACTGAAGGAATTATCTAGTTTCCTTTCAGTGGTATATTTTTCAACTCTAAAAATTTCATTTTGTTCCTTTTTGATTCTTTTATTTTTTTCTGAATCTGTTTCTTTGCTTAGACTCATTATTTCTTAGCACATTATTTCTTAATGTGTTTCAAGTATTATGGCAATTGCTTGTTTAATCATTTTAGTGGAGCTACTTTAAGATTTTTGTAGCATTTTTTAATATTCTGATATCTTAGGGTTGACATCTATTCAGCATCTTTTTTTATCCAGTTTTAGTTACTCCTGATTCTTGGTATAACTTATGACTTTTGTTTTCCTTGTGGGCCTTCTGTGGATTCTGTGTTGTCAACTCGGCCTTATTCGAATCTTATTTTTCTTTCTAGTGGTACTCTGGTGGGGGAAGGATGGGTGCTACCTCTTCACAGCAGATGTGGGTAGCAGTACTGGTTTCCCGTGTGGCCACAAGGAGCCAGGGAAGCAGGTCCTCATTCTATATGGGAGAGGAGTTCTGGCTTCCTACTGAGCCTCCACAGATGCCTCCCTCACTGGGAGAGGTACAAGTACCCCCTTCCTACACCTCCCATGGTCACCATGGACTGGAAATATCCTGACTGCTGGGAAGCAGTGAAATCCTGACCCTCCACTGGGCCTGCTCCAGCACCACCAGGGATACAAAGGGTGGAGCACTTGCTTACTGCTGGGTGAAGTAGAAATACAGGTTCTGCACATGGTCTCCACTTACACTCAGGTGGGTCTTATTATCCTCCCAGTAGGCCTGCAGTTTTCCAGGTGGAGTACAACAATTATGATTTAAAATTTTCCATCTTCATGGGCTGCTCCTCCTTGGCTGGTCTGTTTTTGTTTCCACTTTTCTATAGTTGGGCTATACACAATGCTCAGGTTTGGGGGTTTATTTAGCAAGATTAATTGGGAGAAATATAGTGACTCCCTTTTCTTAGAAGCAGAAAATCGAGTAGGTTTTAAATAGGTGGACTTGATCGGCTTAATGTGTCTAATCTTTGTGATTAAGATCTTACAGTTGTCACCAAGGTTACAGGTTGAAATCAAGAAACAAGCTTTGGAAATTTAAGATTATTAACTGTACATTATTTGGTGATAGACTCATTCAGACAGCTTAATTCAAGCTGAACTCCAGAATCAAGGCCACCAAACACTATTTTGAAATATAAATCATAATGAAATATTTTTATAGCATTCAGCTGTCAAGCAAGGGGCCAGTCAACCCCAGATCCCATCCAGGAGAGAAGGAGAAAACTAGCACAGCCCAAAGGAAGTGAGCTCCACATTGTAGATGGGACCTTGAGCTACTTTGCAGCTCTGCCCACTGTGTTGTCCCAGAAGGTCACTTTTGCTTTTAACAAACTTCTGCCTTGACTGCCAGTCTCTTCTGTCTTGCTCAATTCTTTGAGCCAAGAATTTGGACCTGGGATCCCTTGGAGATCCCTGCTCTCCTGCTGGTAACATCACTCCATATGATACAGAGGGCACTGGGATCAGATTATACTTTGCAGCCCAGTAATCCTTTGAATTACCAAGGGTCACTTTAACATGAAGACTGATCAGGCTAACACTGGTAACCAGGGCAACTCTGTCACTAGTTCATGCACAGAACTGAACGCCAGCAACTTAGACCAACCAACTAACCCAGTCTCTCAGAGATTGCTTAATGACCTA